GGGCCAAACATTTTCATAGCAAACTTAAAAAAAAATGTTTAATAGGTTGTGCAAAAAAATAGCATCTCTTTTATGAAACATTTGCGAAACCTTCAACATCATCCCCAGACCCCATTAGTGCCGAGCTCCCAACGACGACCATAAAAGCGTCCCCATCCCGTCATAGGCGGCGGAACGGGGAGGGCACCGGGGCACCGTGCCCCCCTTTGATTTTGGCATTTCAACATTAGCCCTATGAGCGTTGCATGGAAATAATAGGACCAAAAGTCGGCAGTGCCCCACCCCCTTAATTGTAGGTGTTCCGCCGCTACTGCATCCCGTCAACGTGGGTTTATCATAAGGATGCTAAGATTTAATTTCCAATCCGAAGCTGTAATGATGGAAAGCAAATTTACATTTTACATGTGAAACAAGCTGACACAACTAGATATTTCCTCTCTCGCTCCCTCTCACTGATTTACCCATTGCCTTCTTTCTCATTTTACCCTCTCTGGTTTTCCTTTTCAGTTTTCTCTCTCTCTCTCTCTCTCTCTCTCTCTCCTCTCTCTCTCTCTCTCTCTCTCTCTCTCTCTCTCTCTCTCTCTCTCTCTCTCTCTCTCTCTCTCTCTCTCTCTCTCTCTCTCTCTCTCTCTCTCTCTCTCTCTCTCTCTCTCTCTCTCCCTCTCTCTCTTTCTCTCTCTCTCCCTCCCTCCCTCTCTCTCTCTCTCTCTCTCTCTGTCTCCCTGTCTCTCTCTCTCTCACCCTCTCCATCTCCCTCTCTCTCTCTCTCTCTTTCCTCACAATATTCTCGACTGTTACAGCGTTGTAGGGCTTGTTTCCAGACAGGTCCCGGCGCTCCCCACTCCGTAGGCCAGCCCACACGGCCCAACCGCTCAACACCCTCCGGCGGATGACCTCTGACCCCGGCGACCTGACCCCAGCCGACCGATCGCGTCCCTATCCACGCCTCCGCCCCGCCTCCCCCACTACAGCTGCGTAGCAATTGTAGCGTGTGCAAAGGTCACGTGGCATTATTTACTTCTGCGGCTTGTTCGGCTGACAAGAGATGGCACTAGTGGTCTGTGGATCAGAGGCGGGGCTAGGTTCTACGACTTCTTGGGGCACACTTTAGGGCAGAAAAGAGGTTTTTTGGCTCCCCATCCCAAAATACTTCGAATATACAAAAACAAGTAAGATATTCGAAAATCGGAGGACCAAACGGATCGTTTGACGTAGGTATCTTGCGCGACTGAGAATTGATCGGTCTTCAAACTACTGAACAAAAACGAGGTGATTAGTAGCAAGTGCTGGTGACTGTACATACGTATACCTCAGATTTCGCATATACCTAGGTCAACTGAGGTCAGGTCGGTCACGTAACCTCATCATTATGTCAATGGCGAAAATAGAAACTGTTATTTGAGGGACAGAAACGATCTAAGACTATTTAAAACATATACCTAGCATCCACGCCGTGCTGGAGGGGGGGGGCGTTTTCACGCCCCCCCCCTCAGGTTTTTCGCAAATATCTCAAAAAACAGCGGCGCTGCGAGCCACCGCTTTTGATACACCTGTTCATACACCTTTCCTGCACATGTCGTAAAAATTTCAGACCCAATTCGTTCAAGGTCAGGTCACCAGGTCACGTCCAGTGAAAAAGTTCAAAACTCGCTGTAGCTACCTACAACGAATAAACGTTCACTTTGAAACTTTCAGCGATTGATAAGAGTAACAGTATGTATACAATGTATATCTTGGATTTTCTTTTTATACCTGAGACCTGAGGTCAGGTCAATTTTGTGACCTCTCCATTATACCCAAGTCAATGGGAGAAAATTGAAATGCGCCTCATTTGGACGAATGGTATTCAAAACCCTCTAAAACATCGGTTCATGGGTGAATATGACACATTGATTCGGAAAATTGTACCTCTGACCCCTCCGCGTGCCCCTGAGGTCATCTCAGGTCATGAAAGGTCACCAGGAGACAGGAGTTTCTTGTTTACTTTAACTTTTGATGGAGACGTGCTCGAGCGGTGAAAACACGTCAGATATGTTCAGCTCGACGACACAGATATGCAATATGACCCTTTCCATATGCAGGGACAAATATGCAGCATGACCCTTTCCGGTCATCATGACCTTTACCTGAGGTCAGATTTTCAAAATTATACCTTTCAAGGCACACTTATAGTCAATTCGACGCGTCTCGACGAGAGAAACACGATGCTGGCAAAAGTAATGTCGTGGCTCTCTTGATTCAAAAGTTATTATCGAAAAACATTGTTCATCAAAACAGCTATTTTTAGTTTTTGCCCTCTGGAGGCTAAACCGTTGACCTGAGGTCAAATCTGAGGACGTGTAGGCAAAAGAGCATTAAAAGAGCTATCAAATGTGCCTTTCTGCGGCGCTGTAGCTCAATTGGTTCCCGAGTGCCGTAGGGTATTTCGAAAATTGTTGAAAAATGAAATAGACAAGATCTGACATTTGGTGACATCTGGTGACCTGACCTAAGAAACGGCCAAAGTATTTCAGACTTTACTTTTAACGCTCTTTCGATTGCCGCTTACCGCGTGTCGCTACGAGGCCCAGGAGCAGAGTTGGACGGGGGGGGGGGGGTAAAACGCCCTCCCCCCCCCCCAGCACGACACGGAAAACTCATGCCACCACTCACCAGCAGTCAGCACGGCTCGATGTTTAACTAATTTTTGCATTGTTGAGCTTACGTAAGTTATTACGAGCGAGCGAGCGCAGCGAGCGAAGTGAGTCTTTTCAATATAACGGAAAAATCTCAGTATGAGCGGCCCGGCCCGGCCCGGCCTGTAACGCTTTTGAGAGGCTTATATATATCTCAACAACCGCTGGACCGATTGGCCTGCGGTCTTTTTTGTTGGGGAGCCCCATCCCTTCTACCCCGTAATTGACTGCTTTTGATACATCTCAGTGACCGTCGTGGCACGTGCCACGTGAAAAGTCAAGGGTGTTCAAGCTGTTTTGCAAAAGTAGATTTTGAGAGGCTCATATCTCAGCAGCCGCTTGGGCGATTGACTTGCGGTAATTTTTGTAGGGTAGCAGCATCCCTTCTACCCAAAATAGGATACTCTTGATGTATGTGGGTCACCCCCAGTGCACGTGCAAAATACAACAATAAGAGGTGTCAAATTTGTTCCCATTTCAGTAACTCGGTAATTACTGGGGCGATTTCGCTGAAACTTGGCATACAGGTAGGCACCCACCAGGCAATGCATTCCCATGTGTTGCGGTTATGGTGCTACTGCACGTGCGCACGTGCAGGGGGCGTTTCCAGATCTCGAGAACGGCTGGGCCGATTGCGCTCAAATTTGGTACACGGTTGGGGACCAGTTAGTAGGGTGCCGTGCAAACGTCATTTTGGACCCCGTTTGCACGTGCGCACGTGCAGAATGCCGCTTCCAGATCTCAGGAACGGCTGGACCGATTGCGTTCAAATTTGGCACACCGCTAGCGACGGGTTAGAAGGGTGCTTTGCACAAGCCCGTTGGAAGCACCGTCTCGCCGTTCCGCACGTGCAGGGCTCACTATTTCGCTCGCTCGTTCTTCGCCCAAAAGGCGTTTTACTGGTAATAATATATGACTCACTAAGGTCATCGGAATTGTTCGTCAATAACTCCCGAACAAGTTGAGCTAGCGACTCAGGAAAGTTACAATTGGACTCGGGAATACCTGCCAAATCGAATTATACATAAGTACCTCCTTTGACCAGCTTCGTGACCTGACCTGCAGTAGCGGCGGAACACCTTCAATTAAGGGGGGGGGGGGGCACTGCCGACTTTTGGTCCCATTCTTTCCATGCAACGCCCATAGGGCTAATGTCAAAATGCCGAAATCAAAGGGGGGCACGGTGCATAGGTGCCCTCCCCGTTCCGCCGCCTATGCTGACCTGAGTGGCTTTGACTTGACCTTGACCTGAGGTCAACCCCCTAAGTTGACTCAACCCAAACATAAAGCATATCATTCGACGCGCCTGCTCATATGACGAACACGAACAATAGTGCCTAAATCGCGGCACTGAAGTCTGAGACCATTTTTGAAGACGTTATTCACCAACAACTGAACCTTACATTGGAACGCCTGACCTGAGCTCAACCGGTCAGCCGGTGACCTCAAAGGTCACCAGTTATTAAAATCGGGTACTACAGTCGTTGCGTCTCGTAACGGCGCACATTCCGTTTTTATGCACATTCCGTTTTACGCGAGGCTCCTTAGTCTTTCTCAATAAGGGGCAAAACGACGAGAATGGGGGTGGGGGGTGGGGGGCTCCCCAGTCCACCCACACCCACCCCGGGGATTTAAAAAGCATGTAGGGAATAGGGATAGGTACAGTCCACAGCAGAAGTAATGTGGGGTTTCAGTCATGGGTATGTTCTGCTTCTGAAGCTTAGGAACGATTAGCCAGACTACAATGAAACTTTGAATGTAGCTTATATGTATCGTCACCCTTGCAGCTACAACTTTAGCTATTGATATCTTCTTTTCGATCACTCCGCATTAAACAATCGCCAGTCAAAGCCAACCGTTGAGATTGGTAAAACCCTACATTACTTTAGCGGTGGGCTGTACCTTATGTAAGTATTAACCAGTATGTCCCGCGACCGGCATACGCTGTCGCTGTGCCTGTGGGCCCGGCAATTCGGTTCAGGTTCCAGAGCTTTTGTCGTTCATGCAATGCATTAGTAAATTGTCGCTGGTTTAGCTGGGCACTGAAGTGTGTACAAACAATTTGGCATGCCTCATAGTCAAGGTATATCCATACAAGTTCAGCTTGTTTGCCTAGCCAATAAGTAAACAAGTTCTTGCATTGCGTAACGGCACCGCGATTCAGATTGATTATATATTCATGATTCATAGCCGCTTATCCAGTATCCACCTACATTCTACATTGACATGAAGAGCAGGACAGCATCAGAAAGGTGCGCTGTTTTGACAAAGGAAGCAGTGAAATCGTTGTGCATTCTGATTCACCCCAGAAGAACATGAACATACCTGGTATGAAGTCCCTTATTATTCCTTCTCTTGCAGCCTCTGCTCACTCCGGTTTGACGCCTCGCGCCGGTCCAGACTTGAGTTCAAAGGTCGCACGAACTAAAAACAACACAGCGCGGTCCCATTCACACAAACACCCCTCACGCCACGCCACCGCCAGCGCCGCTCACCGACTGACTGCCGGCGGCATCTCATCACTCGCCAGAGCCCGGCCGCCGCGCTGGCCCGACGCGCCGCGCGCTGGCCCGCTCGCCCGGCTGGGTCGGAACGGCGCGCCGTGTCTCCGTGCTACAAGGGCACACGGTCCTCCTCGCCCCCTCCCTCTCCTCCCCCAGCGACGCCCAGCTGTCAAAGTAGAGCAGCAGTTTTATTAATTGTGGAATCCGGAACAAGCCCGAGCAAATTTGTAGGCATGTAGGTGGTGCAGGTTCGCGTCCCTCATCCCTTATTTTATCCCTGTCTCAGTCTGGGTCCTAGGGACTAGGGTTGCCAAAGGGCCTACCAGCGACAGTTTACTGTGCGTGGTGGGAGAGCGTCATTCGCCACCAGACTGCCACCAAGCCACCTGCCAAATCCCAGTGACAGCTGAACGAGGGACAACTGAACCAGTGGAGAACTGCTGAACCAGTAGCAAGGCTATAGTCAATATCGTCAATATACCGTGACACTGACAGGTAGTAGCCGCCTGTGCGCTTTGCGCACGGATCAACAACAATGGCCTTGACAACAATAATAACAACAAAAGTACGCTGAAGCTGAAGCCTGAACCATTGACAAACGCAAGGCGCTAGATTAGAATACCGACGTGATACCGACCAAGATGGTACTGGTATTTTTGGCTTACGGGCCACCACAGCGTCCTGTATTTGGGCCCGGAACCGACCAAGATTTGTTTGTTTGTTTGTTTGTTTGTTTTGTTGGGTTAGGCCCTTTCGGTCGACAAGACCATTGCAGAGCTGGAGCCGGAAGGATGATAGGAATTAGGGGGAGACATTGGTCTGGGCAGGCACCCTAGTGAGTCGCCGGGGCTGAGCCCGTCCAGAGGACAGGCCACCCAGCCCCAAGGCACTCACTGCACCCGGCTACGGGGTGCGCTCCCTCAGGAGCAGCGGTGCCGCTCCAAGGGAGCAGCCCGCATGAGATAAAGTTGCCTGTCCAGTAGAGTGTATCGATAACCGAAATTTGCAAGGAAACTGGCATATTATTTGGCGCAAGGACATAAAAATAATATCTGGGCGCAACATTTTCCTCAAAACTCAAAATTGACTGACCCGGAACGGTTTTTGTAAACCCCATTCCAACTGCTGCGGACGTAGGATGAAGCTTTAGTTCTACCCTTTTGACGCTAGATGGCAGTGATTCCAGACTGTCTCTAACTTAATTTCAGACATCTGTAAACGTAAAAAAAGCCATTCGGATTAAATTATGCACATTTTTTTACATCATTGGTGTTGGTATATTGCTGTTTTTTCCATTGCAAGTGTTTTTCCATTGCAAACGCATAGCTTTCCACACATTATCATACATAACACAATACACATTACCTATGCATTAGCGCCCTGAGCTCTTAAACACGAACAAGTAAATAGCAGATTAGGCAACTATTAGCAACTGAGCTCCTGCCGCATCGTACTTTAAGGACTAGGTACATATAGCCGGTACAATTGTGTTACCAGCGACCAAATGTCAAAGTGGACACTGGTCAGGTGCTCGGTAACTGGTGACTGGTGAGCCAGTTTGCTTTCTGTCCTATATTACGACTAATTCACCATCATCCTTGCTTGCACTTCTCCGTGTTCCGGATTAACGGTCCGCCTAGCAGACAACCGATGGAAGTCAGCTTCGGAGTGACCATTTCAACAAATGTATGCTCTAGTCTGTCCCGTTGTGACTTGCCGTCAAAACAGTATGTCCCGGCGCTGAAATGCCGTCCCAGCGGTACAGCGGACTAGTCGTCAGTGGTTGATTGAACCGATTGAGCCTTGGTTGATTGAACCTTACATTGCCCTCTCCCTCTCGTGTTTTATCATCCCAGCATAGCCTGACTCAGAGCATTGCAGCCATTATGGTGTCTTTTGACTGAGACGCTGCGGCACACAGCCGGTGCCCGATGGTCGACTTTATTCTGATATTGCCCTCTCCCCGCTAATTCATTTATTCATCATACCACGGCCCTAAAATGTTCTCGAATAGACTAACCCATAGGCTCTAACCAAGCATAACGAACAAACCCACTTAGCAGTCTCCGAACGTCTGCTGTTAAAATTAGTAGCCAGTAGGTGAAACCGAAACCGACGAGTGGCCACGTCAAGCGGTCCCTCAGTGCCCCAAAGGTGGTCACTTTCGGGGTAGAACTTGTCACAACTCAGCCTATCCTACCGGACTGCCGTGGGCTCCTCTCTTACCGCGCGGCGAAGACGGTGAATATCGTGCGCTGGTAGTATTACATACAGCTCGCATCCCAAATAAATAGTTACTGCCGGCGAAGGCCCTGCCATTCACCGTACTATGGTGCAGGTCCGGTGACTTTCCCGCCGCCCGTGTCACCGCGACCAACGGCGGCGACAGTGCCGTCACCGGTCCCCTCGAGACCCGGCGATGCCGTCTGTATTTGTTTGTTTGTTTGTTTTGTTGGGTTAGGCTCTTTCGGTCCGACAAGACCATTTCAGAGCCGGAAGGATGATAGGAATTAGGGGGTGACATTGGTCTGGGCAGGCACCCTAGTGAGTCGCCGGGGCTGAGCCCATCCAGAGGACAGGCCACCCATCCCCAAAGTACTCACTGCACCCGGCTACGGGGTGCGCTCCCTCGGGAGCCGCGGTGCCGCTCCAAGGGAGCAGCCCGCATGAGATAAAGTTGCCTGTCCAGCCCGGAGGGGGTTTCGGCGTGGAGGAGAAGGATTTCAGTATCCTGAGGATGGAAGCACGGAACGGGTGCCGTCTGTACCGGAACAGCGCACTATCTGTACCCGAACAGGTGCGTCTATGTAGGTGGAATAGGCATACTACCAAACTGAACTGCCGCATGCGAGAGACGGCTACAGTCAACCAGGACTCGTGAGTCTGCGGTGTTTTAATACGGGATCACATGCAAGAGCCCGGTCACCGGCACAGATTGACTGTCAACCAGTCCGTGATATGACCCCTGCTGTAGCTAGCTCACGTTCGGGCCCTGCTCGGCGCACTTGCCAAGGCCAATGACGAGACCGACTTTTACGTCGGTCCTTCTCCGCTGCGCCAACCGAGTTAATAAAATACCTTTCACCATTGCTTTCATACATAATCCAGAATCCTATTATTTGACTCATGTGCCGTACACACTTTGCCTCTGGTGCCGCTCAGCCGTTTCAAGCGTCACAGGCACTAAATGAAGAGCTCTTTGCTAACTGACGGTGAACTGGGCTGGTGCGCGATAGGCACTGGTGTACGCAATGCACTTTAGTTTTTAGGGTATTTCTATTACTTTGCTCAAAAGCAATGGCCATTTGTGACCCAGACAAACATACAGTGATCATAGAACAGGAGACATGAGAACAGCACGAAAACATAGCGTAGGAGAAAAGTGCATAGATGCGGTTTGATACTGTTAACCCTCGCCCGCACATGGGGGGGGGGGGGTGGTTGCCACCCCCCCCCCAGGCAGTCTTTCTGCTCTGCACTCAACATTTTTAGAGCTAGAAGGCTGATTTTTCGTATAGCTGCTAGTCTATCCTTTCTTGATGTCCACTGAAAATTTCAAGTTTCTGTTATTTTTGGTTTCGGAGATATGACCTTCTTTTTCAGGTCATGTCATGACCCAAATGGCCAATTCTCAACATCTTGCGTTTGCCATGAGCCTTGTGAGCTTTTGACACCCTGATTTCGGCCTTTTTTGCCAGTCTTACCTCCCACCTATCATGGAACATGTTGTTCGACGATGTACAGGGGTCAAGGTCAGGGTCAAGGTCAACCTAGGTCATCTAAGATAATTGCGTTTTAGGCAAGCTGAATTTACTTTTTGTGAAGTTTTTTGACTGCATTTTTGGTAAAAGCTTCTCAGATCATGATTTCATGTGATATGGACCCAAAAACAATCGGTGCACACATCAGTATACATGTTACAGGCAAAGTGAAAACTCGGGCATTTTGCAAAATGCCTAGGCAATTTGCAAAATGCCTGACCCACCAGGCATTTTGCAAAATGCCCAGGCAGTTTGCAAACTGCCTGACCCACCAGGCATTTTGCAAACTGCCTAGGCATTTTACAAAATGCCTGACCCGCCAGGCATTTTGCAAAATGCCTGGGTAGTTCCATAGTTATTCCACCGTTTTTGTTGACAATAGGCGTTGATCATAACCGTTCCACTGCGACTGACCACACAACACATTTCACATGTGTTGTGGGCACATGTGTGATGTGACACATTCCACGGTCACGAATACAGGGTGTCGCGAAATTGTTGCGGGATGTTGTACTTGTGTCCCGAAATGTATTGCATCGTAGTTGCGTCAGTGTTCTCCAGCACCTCGCTGACAAGTTATCAGCGGCCACATGGTCTGTCCCCGCGGCACCTGGTGAAGCTCAAATAGGCCTCTGTAGCCCATCATGCCCCAAACGAGAATCCGGTAGAATCGGTTAGTGACTAAGAAGAGCTCTAATAGCCGTTTTCACGACGGGCTATCCGGCGAGTGCACCTAATTTGACGAAATCTGCACCTCATCTCTTTTACAGCAAATATCTTTATTTTATGAATTTATTTGTGTTTTTTTCTGATGATGCTCGCTGAATATGACAAAGGAGGCATATAAGCAATTAGAACAACCCAAGCTGATAGCTACTAAGAGACACACTGAACCTAATTTGACCAAATATGCACCTAATCTGCACCAGTTATGAACCAAATGTGTACCAGATGGCCGTTGTGAAAACGGCTAATATTGCCTCACGGCCTCATCATTGAAAAGTCTGAATCTCTAGTCCTGAATGGTCGAGATTTGGTGGGTTTTGTCGAAATCCAGCTGCATCACTTATGGATGAAGGTAAGTCAGGGTTGCAGCCAGAGGTTGAGCGGCTTCAGCTTCAGGGTAAAATCTTCAGATACCGGGGGATGGCCGATTTAGATGCCGAGTGCCCTGGTCGAGATGCCCTGTTTCCAGACCCGTTCAAATTACATCCATTCAGCACTCAGAGGGGCATCGAGGGACAAGACCGCGCCAACCGCGTATCAAGTTCGTGACACTCTGTATAGGTACTAGTGATGTCAATTACGGAAAATCGTGATACCGATACCAAACCAAATGCCAACAATATCCATTGAAAAATACCGAAACCAAACCGACTTGGGAATATGAGGAAAATACCAA